GCTCTCTCATAATTCTGCCCAAAAACACTGTCATGAATAAAGAACTGTATCAAAACGTCCTGCAAGAGCGACTTCTTCCAACGATCCATGAGCAATTTGGTGATGATCCGTGCATTTTCCAGCCTGATGGAGCACCATGTCACAAAGCAAGAGTGATAAAGAAGTGGCTCGAAGATCATTACATTGAAATTTTGGATCCGTGGCCAGGCAACTCCCCGGATCTGAATCCCATAGAGAACCTGTGGGCAGTCCTCAAAAGGCGAGTGGACAAGCAGAAGCCCACAAATTGTGATCAACTCCGAGAACTAAAAAGGCAAGAATGGATCGCCATCAGTCAGGATTTGGCCCAGAAGCTAATATCCAGCATGTCAGAGTGAATTACAGTGGTTATGAAGAACAAGGGTCAACACTGTAAATATTGGCTCATTATATTTTATTGCCAATAAAAGCCTTTAAAACTTATGTTTATCATTGTTTTTCAGTATACCATAGAAACTTGTGGAAAAATAATCTACAACGACTGAAGCAGCAAACTTTGCAAAACACAATTTATGTCACAAGCTGTACAAGTTGTTGTGATTACACAATATAACCACATTGATGTGAAAATTAAGTAAAAACATAGTTGGTTGTGTATGTAACATGATTGATTAACCCATATGGTGTGTGTTTTAATGTTAATGCCTGATGACCAAAACTTTTAGTGTACTTTACCCATATCTTTCTTTTATCAATATTACATAGAAGCTGGATTAATATGTTTTTCTGGTGTTTTAGGGGAAAAAAAAGGAATATATCCTACTTCTCATGACTGCACCACAACTGCATAGGAAAAAAATCAGGGAACATTTGACTTCTCATCTGACCCATTCAGTGCTTTAAGGCTGAATGTAATGATCATTATTCAAAAAGAGAAGACAGCCTTTCAAGACTTCTTCAGTACTCACTCATACAGTATAATGATACATTTAAGGCGTGTGACATAAATGGAAAATTCCTGACGGATCATGGGAGCGCTGTCTGTGTGTTGGGTACTGTCCATGGTGCTGTAGCATTTCGGTGACTTCCTTTTTTTTTTCTTGGAATTGTGTAGTTAGGTTTGTAGGGTAGATCGTGTAGTTTGTTTTTCTTTGTGTTTGTTAGATTACTTAACGTTAAGTTACAGTTCGATTGTTATCCTTACACATGCTTTTAGAGTCACTGGAAAATAAGCTGCAGTGAAAATCCGTCTTTGTCAAGTAGCCTACTCTCCAGCATGCACAAGTGCAGAGTACGTGTATACACACGTTTTTACTCAAGTTTCTAGCTTTCTATTATGACAAGCGTATGTTGGACGGACAAAATATTTCCATGCCAATGCAACAATGGCAAGAACAATACATCTTGAACTTAACCATTGACGAACTTTAGTGAACAAAACAGTGCCCACGGACTCTGAGCTCTTGACAAAGGCAATTTCAGATAATAGCAGGACGAGTAAATGTTCGCAGAAGTTTAGTTTTGATTTTTAATGCGCTACTTCAGTTAGCTTTCTTCTTGCGTTTCTTCGTGTTCTTTAATACATTTTAAACTTTGTCTTGAAGTTTCGTTCTGTTTTTCCGAGACCTGAAGAAGTAGAAGTAAATTTCAGATAATAGCAGGACGAGTAAATGTTCGCAGAAGTTTTGATTTTTAATGCGCTACTTCAGTTAGCTTTCTTCTTGCGTTTCTTCGTGTTCTTTAATACATTTTAAACTTTGTCTTGAAGTTTCGTTCTGTTTTTCCGAGACCTGAAGAAGTAGAAGAAAAGCCATTCTGAATAAATCCAATAGTGCGTTCTTAAAGTGCTTTAATGGTTTCAAGGCGCCAACTTGAAACAGATTAACTTTTAACTGTTACTTCTCTTCATTTAGCCTACTGTAATTGAACGCGGTTTTACTCCAGTAGGTTACGTGATGTTTATAACCAACAGCTCTAATTCGTTCCTATAAGTCGTTTCAATAGCAGCAGTATTCCAACAAATAACCTGACTCTTATAATACTCTTATAATTCAACGTTTTCGTCGTTTCTACGGCAAACGGCATAACTTCTCTCTTCTTCCGTTGATCAGAGGCACAGAGAAGTGTTACGTCCACAACACAGCGCCTCCCGGTGGAGAACTTTGTGCTGCACGGTAAACGACCAGAAAGGATGACTTCATTTGGATATTTTAAACTTCTGTTTTAAATTGAAATAAGGGACACGAAGGAGAAAGGTTAAAGTTGATTTTATCTACGTCAAGTGTAGATAAATGTTCAAACAGAGTAAAAACCGTTGGGCGCCAAGAGGTTCGCGCGTTTCTTGAGGTGAGGAGAAGCGTTCAAAAAGATAACGTACTAACGAAAACTAAAAAGCCAAGAGGCGTTACACTGAGTTTACAACGGTAAGAGTATCTGAAACCTCTTTAAACCTTAGTAAGCAAAACTACCCTCTTTTTAGTAGGCTATATGTGTGTTTTGCCCGTACTTTTACAATCTACGTTTATAATCTCCCCCTGTGTTCCTCTACACGTCCTTTAAAAAAAACTCTGGAAAAAATGTAACATCAGACATAAAGTATATAAAAAACAGCCTTCAGAATTATTCTATGGTGTCGCCAATCCACCACAAGAGGGAAGTATACATCTGACCAAACAGCAGTGGACACAAAGCTGACCAGCTCACGGACGTACAACTGTTTCAGGTTTGAACTCTTCATTCCTCCACCTTCGCAAATATTGATTATTTCGTTGTGTGTGTGTCGATAGCATCGTCCAAACAGCTGCCGTGTTATGATTTTGAAACGCGCTGTGCTCATGTTTATTCAACGAAGTCAAACGGCACAAATAAATCAATGTATGGGAAACACTGGTAATGTATATCGAAATATCGGAAATGTGTTTAAAAATCATATCACCGTTATTGAAAAAAATTATATCGCGATACATATTGATATTGAATTATTGTCCAGCCCTAGTTTAGCAGAATGCTCCTCTCTATATACTCTTAATATAATGAAAGTGAAAGTGAATGAGAACAGACCCTGTCAAGCTCAAAAATTCATTCATTCATTCATTCCTTTATTCATTTAACATTTTAAAATTGTATACAATTTTATTTATATTTAATTTAATTTATTTTTATATGCATTTTATTAATTTAATCTAATTTTATTTATTTTATTTTTTTTGTCTTTTTGGAGCTCAACAGCATTTCACTTTCATTGTGTGGAAAAGAACATCTCATAGTACTTTTAACATAATTTTGTGTCCGACAGAAGAATAATACCATCATATGGTTTGAAACAACATGGGGGTGAGTAAATAAATGTCATTTTTTTTGGTGAATTGTTTCTTATTTAGTTTCAAAACACACCAGCAGCCTCATTATTTACAAATGTTTGCGCAAATACAAATCTGAAACATCACACTTTCCCCCGTGTTAGTGCTAGTGACACTTGTAGTTGCTGGAAGTGTTGGTTTTATCAGAGGATGCAGTAGCATGTCAGAAGGTTTTATCTCTCTCCAGGCTTCGTGTGGTTGTTCAGTGAAGTGACCCGGATTCTAAAGCAAAGGGGTGGAGGTGTTGTGGAGTGGGAACACGGGTGGAGGGGGGCTCCTATGATGAGAGTGGATTAGAGATGGAGGTAGGGGGGTTATGGGTGATGCAGTTTTGCAGCTGTGCGTGTGCTTCTGTGTCTGTGTGTGATTACGGGGGGCAGGAAAGGTTCAGAAGTGTTGGAGCAGAAAATCTCTCTTCTCTCTCCTCCTCCTCTTTCTCTTGCTGTCACCGGGCCAGACGTAAAGCAACAGCAATTTGTGCGATTTCACAGCTCACTGGATCCCCAAAAAAACTCTGACAGCCTTATACTGAGAAAGGAAGAGAAGCGAGGAGAAATGGAGGGGTAGAATCATGTTATGAACTGAACAAGGGGAATTTGAAGGACCGGGGAAAATAGAAATATGTGGGATGAGGAAAGTCTTGTCGACTCGTTTTGCTTTTGATCCAAAGTGGCGACTCGAAACGGCACTGAAATTGTAAACAGAAACAAAAATGTTAATTGAAATATTAATATTAATATGAAATGTGTAGCTGCAACAATATATTTAAATATTAAAATATGGCATCAACATAAACTGAACAGTAAAAAAGAGTTGAAAAACATAAACTTGGAAAAAACAAACCTTGTGGTTGGTCCTTACTGCAAGCGAACCCCTATTTAATGTAGTCTGGGTTGTATTTTCTTTTTCCTTCAGTAGTTTTGTTTATGTTTTTCAAGGGCTCATCACACAAGCTGTCCATGTTGATATTTCTTGAATTTATTTAATTCAATGCATTTAATTATTTACATTATAAGCATGTCAGTCAATTCTATTTATCTATCTATCTATCTTATTTTTTTAAAGATTTTACATGGTTTGAGAAGGAAATTTAAAATGTTGGGGTCAGGAGGTTTTTTATTTTATTTTAAGAAATTAAGACTTTTATTTAGCAAGCCTGAATTCCATTGATCAAAAGTGACAGTAAAGACTTTTACATTGATGCAAAAAAGAATCCTGAAAAATATTAAGCAGCACAACTTTTTTTTAGCATTGATAATAATCTGAAATGTTTCTTGAGCATCAAATCAGCATATTAGAATGATTTCTGAAGGATCATGTGACACTGAAGACTGGAGTAATGATGCTGAAAATTCAGCTTTGATTTTTTTTTTTAAAACAAAAAAACAAAAACTGTAATTGTGACTATTTTCTGACAATTATAAGTTTATATCTCACAGTTGTGAGAAAAAAAGTCAGAATTATGAGATAAAAAGTTGCAGTTAACTTATATTTTTTATTTTTATCCCATGGCAAAAACAAGCTTGCAAAGAAAACAGCTATATTTAATTGTACAAATATTTCACAATATTGCTGTTTTTACTGCATTTTTGCTCAAATAAATGCAGCCTTAGTCACTATAAGAGACTTTTGAAAAAAAAAGTGTATAAAATTTATTTTTTATAAAGATTCTGCAGATTAGTTTCTACATCTTTGTCTTTTGTGTCCTCTATTTGTGAGTCTTGTGCTGGTTTAGAAACTATACAGTGAGCTCATCATAAAATCTGAGCCTGAGGATCACCTAATCCCTCAATCTCTTCATGAGCATTAACTGCTCTTTGAGCTTCTATTTGTGTGGCCTTTTCCTTTATCTAATATTCAGAGATGTGTCACTGTAACCCCAGAAAAACCTCTGAAGCCATTCTGAATGCATAATGCTGTCTCCCGGACAATTACGGTGTTTGCAGACAAGCGAGCGAGAAACTTGTGCAATAATTGAAAAGGCATTTGCTGGGATGACGGAGCACTTAATAGAACCGCCTCTTTAGAAGAGGAGCTCAAGTGCCCTCAAGATAAGACATGTCACCTGAGTTCTTTGTCTCGAGGGCTGTAGGACATCTGGATTGGCTTTTAAGGTCAGTCATGGGACAGGAAGCCCCTTTAATCCCTCCAGCTGTAAAGTGAGGAGGATATTCTTTGGGTTGCTGAACAGTAGCTGCACACAGTCCTGTCTAATCGCAGCACATCACCTTAAAGACTTGGAATAGTTCACATAAAGTGAAGATAAGATGACTTTGTCAAAAAGCAGACTGAAATTTTATGCAAAATTCGATTCCTAAAGATATGACTTCTAAACACAAGTACATTTAGGTATTGTACAAACTGTTCTAAATAATGCAAATGAAATGGAGATGAACTTCATCTTTTGCAAAAAAAATAAAGTGTAGGATTTACCTAGATATTTGGTGCAACAAATACATGTGCACTGTAAAAAAAATTCCGTAAAATTTACGGTAGAAAACCGGCAGCTGTGGTTGCCGGATTCCTGAAAATCAAGAAAAGTTTACCAAAATGTTCTTAAAATTCACTAAAATATTCCAACTTATATATATTATATTATAATAAAACTAATGAAATAATAAAAACTAAATAGGCATATAAAAAACAACAAAATTAAGAAAACTAAAATGAAAGTATATATATATATATATATATATATAAACAAATGAAAATATTAATAAAAACTCAATGCTAAAATAACACTGGCTGGTGCAGTTATTATTAAAATCCAGCCATGCACTGAAAATTTCACTAATAATTACAAAGAAATGGTAAGTACTACATACTTTCTTGTAAAATGTACTCCAATGATCTTTGTTCATTTTGAAGTATTAAAGAATAGAAGCAGGTTTATAGATAAAACACAGGCTCTTTTAGATGTGTTGTGTGGGCCCTGTTTTCTCACATGAGCATGAAATGACTGTGTAGGGTGAGGGGTCAAGTGAAGGTGGCATCCCCACGCAGCCAACTGGAAAGCTTGGAGTTCAAAGGTCATTGAAAATATGGATTGCTTGACTTGTCATACAAATCAAATCAGCTGCTAGCTGTACTAGCTGTTTAAAATGACCCAGCCTATTAACAGAGCAAGGACAGCAGACGGCAAACCGGTACTACCAGTCCAGAATATCTCTATCTTCATTTTTTTTAACCTTCAGATATTTTCAGATGGAGTAGATTTTAGAATGCAACCCTGATTCTAGCTTAATTTTATATTCCCTTTGTGACTTTGACCTTGTCTTCCCCGCTATTTGTAAGACTGTGATTTATCTGTCAGATTAATTTTGTTGGCTGCATTGAAATGTGTTTAAGATAGGGGTCACTCTTCGGGTCAGAGATGGCAGCCAATAAATTGAAGGGGAAAAAGAAGAGAGAGGGTGTTTGAAGCAAATTGTCGGAGGACAGAATAATTGAAAGAATTGCATTTGCACAAACATAACAACATCTCTGAATTATTAAACAGTTTATGGGATTATAGTGCCTGTTTTTGATTTTACAATTAAATGTGTGTTAATTTAAACACAACAATCAATAACTTTGCTTCATAGTAAACATGCATTGCAGATGTGCATTAACGGAGGACTGCTGTCGCATAGGCAATGTGTCTTTAGAATAGTGTGAATTTCAATAAAATCAATAAAGGTTTTCTTAAAGCTCTGAGCTGGCGTTCAGTTTTGCATGCCTTGCAACAGCTATATGAGAGCTATCCACATATATATTTATACACAAAGTAAGCACATCTTTCATCAGAGCCACATCTGAAGTACCAGCTTAGGTGCAACAAACACGTTCATTGTGCATTTAAAAAAAAAAACTGTAATAATTAAGACCAAACCATTATTGCTTTAAATGTATAATGCAAAAACTAAAATATTACAATGTTTAAAATACTGAAAATAATTAAGCCATGGTTATTTTATATCATTGATATATTATTATAGGTTTTTATTATATTTTGAATTAGTTTTTATTTTTATATTTTCCTTTTTCATTTTGATTTTTAAAGTTGTATTCATTTTGTTTTGTTTTTGTAATTTGTATTTTTAAAATGTCTATATACTTTTTTTTTTTATAAATTTTTATTTTAGTTTTAATTTTTGTTATTTTAGTACATTAGTATACACTAAATGAAAGTGATAAACTGATAGCAACTAGCTAAAATAAAGTTTATGCTTTTTTATATTTTATCTTATGTCAGTTAACATTTGTTTTATTTTAAGTAATGGAAATGCTTTTATGATTTTAGTTTTAGTTAATAATCCTGGTCACACGAGTTCATTTATTTATATATACCAATTAGTAAGTATATAATGCTATATGCATTAAA